GAAGGAGGGGAGGAGAAGAGAGTAGAGGGGGAGGGGAAGGGGGATGGGGGTGAGAGGGGGATGGGAGGGGGAAGGAGAAGAGGGCAGAGGAGGAGGGGGGAGGGGAAGGAGGGGGGGAAATGAGGAGGGAGGGGGAGGAGGAGAGAGCGGGGGTGAGGGGAAGGGAAAGAGGGGGGAGGGGGAGGGGTGTGGGATGGGAGAGGGAAGGGTGAGGGGAGTAGAACGGGTGGGAGGGGAAGGGAGAGGGGTGTGGAGTGGGGGGGGGGAGGGGTTAAGAGGGAGAGGTGTAGTAGACTTGTTGTCTCGTTCTGGATGTTTGATGCTCCTCTTCCGGTTTGTCGTTTTTTGTTATTATTCGTTTTCTCTCTTTCTCTCTCTCTCTCTGTTTGTCTGAATCTTTATATTCTCTCTCTCTCTCTCTCTCTCTCTCTCTCTCTCTCTCTCTCTCTCTCTCTCTCTCTCTCTCTCTCTCTCTCTCTCTCTCTCTCTCTCTCTCTCTCTCTCTCTTCCCCCTCCTCCTTCTCCTCTCCTTCTCTCTTATCCATTTATTTACTTTATCGTCTTTTCTTACCCGTTTTGAGCCTCGTACTTAAGTTCTGTAAACAGCTACGAAAGCAGACGAAGAGAATAGCGAAAAGAGGGAGAGGAAGAACGAAATAAAAGGATAATAAGAGGAAATGAAAGAGAGAGGAAGGGGAAATGAAAGAGAGAGGAAGGGGAAATGAATGAAACGAGAGTATAAGAAATAAAAGAGAATAATAAATAAAACCCAAATCGAAGGAGATAATGTGGTAAACAAAACAAGAATAAGAAAAGCAACGAAATATGAATAAATAATTAAAAAGAAAACGGTAATAAAGGAAAAAAATAAATAAAGAATCAAGAAAATAGGCAGATAAATTTAATAATAGAATGGCTAAGCGACCTAAGATTTTTTTTATGGGAAATTAATATGCATTTTTCTTTTCACACTTTGGAGACGATATTAATAAGGGTGATTAAAGTTATTTATATTTTGCAGCTATTTGTTCGAAAAAAAAATTATTAGTGATAGTGATAAGTTCTTCATTGATGTTACTAGTGAGTTCATTAATATTGTTAATTGAAGCATAAAGGTTACTGTCATTAGCATACAATATGAAATTTAAAAACGATGTTTACTTGTTTTTCTTTTTGTTTTTGTTTTGTTTTTGTTTTTATTTAGTTTTTTCTTTAAGCTATATCCTGTTGTAGAGTAAAACTAAAGCACACAAAGGGACAACCCTACGAGCTAAAGCATTTTTTTAGAGACTTTTTTTTTTGGTGGGGGGGAGGGGGTCAAAGATTTTTTTTATGTGAAGGATAATATATCTTTTGTGTGGGGGGGGGGAGATATTTTTGACTGAATTTATGCAAAATAAAATCGGCAACTGAATGTAAAATGTTAAACGCGTACATACACTTACAAACGAACAAACACTCACACAAACACACGCATACAAACAAAAACGTGCAAAAA